TATTATGCTAAGAGAAAGAAGACATAAAATACCACACATTATATGATTTCATTTATATGAAATGTTCAGAATAAGCCAATTCATAAAGAAATGTTTAGTCGTTGCCAGGGACTGGGAAGAGAACAGAATGGGTAGAGACTGCTGCTGCATGGTCTCTTGAGAGACCGTGGTTTCCCAAGGCTGTGAATATCCTAAAACCCACTGAGCTGTGCACTTTAAAATGATGCATTTTATGGTATGTGAATAATATCTTGAAGGCGAAATTTGTCAGTTTATATTGGGAAGGTCTCTATGGCTGTAAGGAGAACAGATCAGAGGTTGGGATGAGAGATACCTTAACAATCATACATGTGAAAAAGGCTTCTGTGTTTCCTCTCTAAAGAGTGTGACCTGGACCACTTCCTAGGATGCAGCTCAGTGGTAGCAGAGGGAGGAAACTTGTACTGTCCATGGTGCTGACCTCAAGGGATTTAGTTTTTGTAAACCTTCCTGAGAATTTATTTTCCTTAAGGGCTATTATCCTCCTTCATCTTGGTCCTATGACCAGTGTCCCTGAAGAGTTTATAATGGTGCATCTGATGCAACAACTCACATACTTCTTAATAACTCCCGTTGCTCTTGTCCTTAGCAGCCTGAGCCCAGCTTCAATTCACAAATTAAGCCTAAGTTTTGTCCTCTGAGGAATGTTCCTTCCCTTAAGGCCAATCCTATATGCGTTCCTGATTTTAGAGAGGCCAGATAAATGGAGTGGCAGGAGAAGGGTGGCCTGGAAGAAGGACGGCTCTAAGTCCACTTGGCCCCTTTGGGCTGGAGGTAGGTCATGGCCCTGGTGTCCTTTTGATGGACAAGTCAGCCCTGAGAAGGCTCCTGCCAAAGCCTATAGAAAGATAAGCATGGGGTAGAGGGAAGCTATGGGGGAGTCATTGGGCAAGAATTCTGGGAAGACAGGATGTGGGGAACAGTGCATTTTATCTGGAATTAAGACGTTGGTCTGTACAGGCTTATGTATTGGGTGGAATTTAGGACAGAGGGTGAGAGAAAGAGCAGAATATAGATGCCACTGGTTTATCCCCCACTTTCCACATACAGCTTCTTTCCACACCCAGGAGAAAACAACCGGGCCTATTCTCACACTTCCTCCCCTCTAATATTGCCCTTCTAATCCTCTTTTTTTCCTCCACCTTCCTCCTTCTCCTGTCTGCTGCCTCTCCCACCCACTTCAGGTTTTCATTCCTTCTTTATTGCTATACCTCCATCTTATCCTTCCTCAAATCTCATGTCTAGTAAAACCTGTTTATGCTCCCAAGATGACCACCAACTAGATTCACCCCCATTTTTGGAACCACTTATTCCTCCTCCTTTCCTGCCTCTTCGTCCTGTGTGGAGTGATATTCTGAGAACAGGACAGATGGGAGACAAGATTGAGTAACAACAGGAAAGGGCCTGGAATCCTTCCATTACCCTATGCATATCATGCCCTTCCTTTCTGTCTCTTTGTTTTCCTTCCCATCAAGAATCCCTCTAAACCTATTCTCTGTGCAGGTGGAAGAATCACCTCCAAAGATTCTTATGAATGTGTAGAAAGAATGCTGGCAATGCCAAGATGATGCTTCTAAGTCCATGAACCTGGTGATGCTGGCCCTTAGGATCCTGGGGTGCCCTTCAAGGTCCCTTAAACTGAACCCTTTCATGCAGTGGCTACTCTATCTCCCCTCGCTTCTCTCAGTGGTCTGACCTGAACTGGTGTTCCATGCACTGTGAAAATATCAAGCATTCTTTTGGGAAACATCTATGAGAAAGTTTATATGTGCACTAGGAACTCTGTAGCACTAACATATCAGATTTACATTGAATTGCAAACACATGTGAGGTGACAGAGCCGTCCTTATGGAAAACCGCCAATACTTGGCAAGGTGTGGAAGAGCTCATTACTCTCAGGCCTTGAGGGAGGGGTAGAATTCAAATAAGGGAGCAGAATGGGAAGGTAATCAGGTTGAGCACTGGCCTGACAAAAGGCACTGAGACCAGAGGGACTGAGGAGCTCAGTTTGGTTGAAGCCAAGGATTCTTACCGGGGAGCAAGTAAAACGAGAATTATAGTTAAGAGTGCAATTCTGGGACTAATCAGACCTGGTTCAGAGTCTGAGCTCTGCTACTCGTTCTCTGTGTGACCTGGGGAAAATTATGTTATCTCTTCTAAGCCTCAGTTCACTTATCTGTGAACCGGGGATAATTAATAGTACTTACTATATTTTATAAGCATGCGAATAATGCATGAGAATTAAACAGGATAATGCTTAAAAAATGCTTAACCTAGGGCCTAGCACATAGTAAACACTCAGTAAATGTTTATTACTACAATGACAACAATTACTATCACTAACCATAAATGTTTTACTACTTCTACTGCTGAGCAGCAGATGGATCCGCAAAGGCGGGAGCCAGGTTGTGTGGAATCCCCTAAAAATCCATGTAAGTGTGAATTCTTTCCTGTGTAGACAATGAAGAACCATGGATTTATTTATTTATTTATTTGAGGAATTAACAGTCAGTTTTATTGGGTTCAGACCAGGAGTCCATGGGTGTTGAGGACCTCTGTATTTGTCATTTTTTCCCCCTCTACATCCTTTCAGGCCTATTTCTTAGCCTCATGAGATATTTTTTTCTTCTAGTAGTAAATCTGGGCCTTCTCCTTCCTCTTCTCCAAAGTGGCTGTGACTGCCTGGTGCTTACAGCCAATCTCATGAGCCCAGCGCCCTAGGGAGGCAAACTTTCCTGTAGGCTTCCGACCCACAACTTGGAGAGCGGCAGTAACTACCCTTCACCTTCTCTTGTCATAGGGCGGAGGGATCCCATCAAACACCTTGAGGTGGTGCAGGGACACGAGGACTCACCTGGTCCTGTGGGGGAGCGTGACTTCCACGGTCCGCCAAAAGATGCAGCTGCATGTTCGGAAGTGGGTTGGGGCCGCGGGATGGGTTGGTGTTCATCTGCTTGCAGAGGAAGGTTGGGTACTTCAACTTGTTTCTGCAGAAATTGTCAGAAACTTGGATGCTCTCACCACGCATGACCTTCCGGCCCAGCAATACCTGCTTGGCCACCATGGCTGCCAGGTGACTTAGGAGGTGACTGCAGCCATCCAGCATTTCCATGGCCACCTGTAAGGACCATGGACAATTTTTGAAAAAACATTGATCTAGAGGAGAAACTATCTGCTGGGCAGTTGACTTACGTATGATGGTGCACGGTGTGCACCTCTGACTGATAAGGGCCTATAAAAGGGTGTGATAGCTGTAGTCTTAATACAGACAAAGATAAAAATAGAACTAATAAAGCTATGCTGATGATGTTTTAGGAATAATGACTGGAGAGGAGGTTGGGGTGGGGGCGAAGCGTTAGCGGGCAGAGCCTTTCTCAGGGAGGCCAAACCATGCCATTTAAGCTGCTGCCCACCCAGTCTCACTTCCGCAGGGACACAAAGCCAGAGACAAAAACGTGTTACCCTCTGCTGGGTTTGCTCTGACAACAGCCCAGGAGGGTCTGCTCCGGTCTTGCCTGCCTCAGGGCTTCCTGCCCGAGTGGGCTGGGACAAGCTCATTGTGACCCTGTGTCATCATATCATTTTCCTTCCAAAAGCTGCCAGGGGTTCTCAGTTGCCCATGGAGAGGCTTTCCAAATGGTCCTCTGCTGGGAGTCAGTGATGCCACAGAACAAACAGAATGCCTCTTCCAGCAATATCATTTTTACAAAAATATTTGGGATAAATATGAGTTTTAGGTGAGAGAAACATGGCAATATTTTGAGTACTGTAATACTGCACAGATAATTTTAGAGATAATTGTTTTATATTTGTCTACAGAAGTTGATAGAAAAAAATGTGCATTTATTTATTCAGTTCCCCTGTAAGAAGAACATCAGTGTGACTCTGCTGTCCTTCCCCTGTGTTAAGCAGGAGTCAGGGAGGAGAACTCTATGTTCTATTTTCTGCTTGTGGCCAGGACTTGGCAAATTTTCCTGAACAATTAAACAGTTTTGGAAAAGTGTAACCCAAGGGAATGGGCTTTAATACACAGCTTATTTTTCAAGTGAATGTCTTCCAGAACTGTCACTTACTGAACAAAAGAAAATGTTTTTTCTCTGTCCTATATTATATATAGCACCTTGGACTCACTAAAGTTTTACAAGCCACAATTGTTAAATTTCAAAAGCCCTGTTAAAGATTGTTGAGATAGACTAGAAAAGTCCCATAAATTTTAAAATACAAGACATGAAGACTTTAAGGAAATTTTGTACTTGCCCTGGGCTGCATTGAGTTCCTGGCACGGCACTGAGTTCCCTGTGCTGTTGGCCCATGACGACAAGTGTCATTAGAGAAGCATTTCTGCGGAAAAGTTTGAGAAGCACTCATCGTCTCAACTTTACTACAGCCAAGATCATCTGCTTGTTTTTCTTCACATTTGTCCTTGAATTTGCCCATGACAACTTCCTCTAATGCATACCTCTCTTCCTCAAACCTCTTCCCTGAAGAAGATTCAGTTGTTTATTTAACAATTTTTAGATTGTACTTTCCATATTCTCAAGATTTTTGCATGTAGGTTGATGATATTTGTGGTCACAGGTACTTACCGCCATGTTTATTTGTTCATTGATTGATCCAACTGTATTTGTGTTGCTTGTGGTTCACAAGGCACATATTGGGAACCGCAGGTATGAATCAGACACAAAACCCATGGACAAGGACAGTGCAGTTCAAAGAGAAAAAGACCCATGAATGCCCGTAGTACAACGTAGGGCGTGGTTAGGGGGACAAGTCGGTGAGAGCCTTGAAAATGTGTTTGTCTCCATGGAAAGCTCTTCTAAGGGTCATCTTGGAATGATACAGGATAATGATTTTGTCCTTATACTCCACATTAATGAACTTGTCCAGATGCTCCACAGGAAAATGATTGAATTTTTATAACTTTTGTTTTGCGGGTTCCTCTCTAGGTGTGTGGGAAAGATCCCATGGAACCACAAAACACCACATGGGTGTCAGAGTTTGTCCTCTTAGGGTTCTCACAGACCCAGGAGCTCCAGAAATTCCTGTTCCTGGTGTTTCTATTTGTCTATGTCACCACTGTTGTGGGAAACCTCCTTATCATGGTCACAGTGACCTTTGACTCCCGGCTCCACATGCCCATGTATTTTCTGCTTCAAAATCTGGCTGTCATCGACTTCTGCCATTCCACAGTCACTTCTCCAAAGATGCTGGTGGACTTCTTTCATGAGACCAAGACTATCTCCTACCAGGGCTGCATGGCCCAGATCTTCTTCCATCTCTTGGGAGGTGGAACAGTCTTCTTTCTCTGGGTGATGACTTATGATCGCTACATAGCCATTTCCCAGCCCCTTCACTGTATCTCCATCATGAATACCCAACTGCGTGTGGGGCTGGCAGTGGCTGCCTGGGTAGGCGGCTTTGTCCACTCCATTGTCCAACTGGCTCTGATGATCCCATTGTCTTTTTGTGGTCCCAATGTCCTAGATAACTTCTACTGTGACGTTCCACAAGTGTTGAGACTCGCCTGCACTGATACCTCCCTCCTAGAACTCCTGATGATCTCCAACGGTGGGATGCTGGTTCTTATCTGGTTCCTACTCCTTCTGGTCTCTTACATGGTCATCCTGGTGATGCTTAGGTCCTACTCAGGACAGGCAAGGAGGAAGCAGCTTCCACCTGCACTACCCACATCATCGTGGTGTCTATGACCTTCGTTCCCTGTATCTACATCTATTCCCAGCCCTTCACCCCCTTTCCCCTGGACAAGACTGTGTCCATCAGCTACACGGTCATGAACCCCATGCTCAACCCCATGATCTACACTCTGAGGAACCAGGAGATGCAGGCAGCCATGAAGAGGTTAGGCAAGCGCCTAGTGATCTGCAATGGGAAGCTTTAAATAGGTCGACTTTAAACAACAAACTTCTCTGAACTTTTGTTTTCCCATGTGAAAGTGGAAGAAAGTCTTTATAGAGTATGACAATTAAGATTAAATTAATATTTCTATGGACCTCCTCCTCTGTCAGATACTACGTTAGGCACTTTTGTCTCATTCTCAGAAAACTGACAATGAATATATTATTTTTTATATTAAACAGTTTTACAAACGAGGAAACTCAGAGAGAAAGGGCTTGCTCAATAATGCGCAGCAAGCGAGTGGCAGAGGTTGGCAGGCACATGTTTCCTCAGACTCCAAGATTAGAGGCAGAAGATATGGGTGGGATTAGAAACTCAGGGTCTCCCAGAACCACAAGGGAAAACCTGGAGTGTTCCTCATCTATGGGACAATAGGTCTGTGATAAATGGTCAACAGGTTCATGTAAACTCTGGAACAATCACATTCTTTTCTGCTCTCTGTGTCTCTGCCTCATCAACTACTCTGGTATCTAGGAAGTTGTCTCACTTTTAACATTGTATAAATATTATTTCCCATAAGCACATCTGCCTGTTGTATGTTTTCTTCCTACTAAATACTCCTTGGATATAGCCTACAAAATATTCTACTTTTCCAACACAGTCTTTACATCATTTGGAGGATATGGCTGAGGAGGAGTATGTAGGATGGTTGGGGAACGAGGGTCAGAGAAGGCAGAGCCAGGACTATTGGTGTTCCAGGTTTGGGGCCATGGGTTTCGTTCTGAAGCCAACACCCCGTGGGCATTCCCTTTGACTTCTGCACTGGAATGAGAGCTCCTTGAGGACAGAGGCTGTGCTTCAGTCACCTTTCAGTCCTCCCAGCACCTTGAATAGTAACTTACACAGAGAGGCATTTCTATTTTTCCTGCATCTTGTTCTTTCCCTGCCAGTTTCAGAATCTACTTTTTATTTCTATCTCTGTTATATTTCTATTTATTCCCTCCATCTCTTTTGACATATGCCTCACTTTGCAAAAGTCTCTGACCTTGTCTAATGTTGATTCAAAGTTAAGAATGTGATGTACAAGTTTTTTTTTTCTTCTTCCCTTCTAGCAACCATCTCACCCAAGAAATGTCTTTTAGGGTTCTTTCTAAGCCATCATGGCAACTCTGCCTTTAACTTTCCTTTTCTCATTTCATACTTTTCTCCCTACCCACAGTGGACCTATGGAGGTGAGGGAAGAGAAAGTGAACTTAGTGTCATATTTCATCTGTGTGGTCCTTCCGAACAGCTTTTCCCCCTTTTACACTGAATTCCTTTAAGTGACTGAAGATACTTTTCTCATCCTCCAATTCATCTCTCCTCCAGGTGGAACATCTGCTAATTATAATCTATAATGTTGACCCAAAGGGAAGAAATGTGACAAAAATTTCCTCAGACTTATTGTACACACATTAATTCCACAAGATGAGGTTCTTGATTCTTAACTAAGTTTGTCAAGAAATACCCGCATTTAAATGAATACAGCTATATCCATGAAAATTTATACCTTTAAGACATTTTTTACTGAAGCCATGCTGTCTTTATGAGATAAATTTGACTCAAATCTAAGTTTATTAACTCTAAATGGATTGGTGCAATGTCTTTTACTATAAAGACTTTAGAGGAAAAAAATTAAAAATAAGTTGTTCATAAAATAGCTTAAGTTAAAAATATGCCCAGTGCTCTGATGCTGTCTTCAGTAGTATAGTGGGACAGCAGTAGTTTGTGAAGCCATGGGATTCAAATTCAGGCTCTAACTTCCGTAGGTTGTATTCCTTTCAGACCTCATCGGACTTCTCCTTCTTTAGCTGTGAAATGTCCATGATGCCTCCCAGTGTTGTGTAATCAATGAGGCCACTGTAAAACATCCAGCACTGTCCATGGCTCATAGTAGCTGTTCAAATAATGTTAGTTCCTTCACACATTCCCATTTACCTCCCCCCCCCCACCGCCGCCCACTTTCCATCGATACTTTTAAATTAAACTAAGACAGTTAGGCATCCTTATGATATGAACAATCAGCTCAAGTAATATGCTTTAGTTATGTCGCTTATCTGTAGAATTAGCAAAAAACAGCTCTCTCCAAAGAAGGCTGCAAAATATTTCAGTGATAGTAGATAAATTCTGGTCCAGAAAATATTTCACTTCGCAGCCTTATTAACCCCTAGATCCTGCCATTTCAGTTGTATTCATAATCGAGCACAGCAACGATTTAACTGTAAGAAGAAGACCTCACAATCTTGTCTAACTTGCTGACCTCATTCGTGTTGCACGGAAAGTGATGTATCCATCAGAGCTACACCAGAGAAATAGGACCAGTAGGATATGGATATACAGGGTCTGGCACAAGTAATGCCCTCTTTTTCATTGCAAAATCTTTTATTATAAAATCATAAGCATGCAATTCGGTAACATAACAATATCACTCTCAAGCACACCACATGACATTTTAGGTGAAATGTTCAAATTAAAACTATAAATTATTACACCCATATTATTACCCCACCAACCTCACTCAAGCAGATCTTACTTCTTCCAGACCCTGTATAGGTTAAGAGATCTTTTGCAAGGAAAAAAATGAGTCTTACACAATTGTGAGACTGGCTGGGCAAGTACGAACCCTGTAGGGTAGGCCATCGGGAAGTGCTGGCTGGACCACAGGCGGGAGCCGAAGCTGCCGTCCAGGGTTACCCCTTCCTCAGTTCCGCTCTTCGGGCCTTTCCGCTGATTGAATCAGGCCCACCTGCTTATCTAGGATACTCTCCTTCACTCAAAATCAGCTGATTATAGACATCAAACACACCTACAAAATACCATAACAGCAACACCTAGATCAGTGTTTGACTGAAAACCTGGGAACTATAGTCCAGTTGACATATAAATCCAATCTTCACATGGGAAGAATTATTAATTATCTATGATGCTGGGCTCCCTCAATGAGAATGTAAATGAAGTTCCTTCTCTATGTATTCTGAATCCACTTAACAGTATGAAGTTGTAACATTACTTAAGTCTGACAAATATTTATTTTCTTAAATAGGTGGTACACAGGGAAACTGTTTTCTCAGTTCAATTTCCATGACTGGGTCTTTAGTATAATTATTCTATCCCTCGCCTTTGGGTCTTTGAAAATTTTTATGTTGGCTAAAGGTTGCAGTGAATAGATGAGTTTCAGTGAACATTTTACAGACCCACATGTGCCTTTGAGGAGAAATATATAAACTGGAACATACGAGGTTTTTCTTATTGAAAGCTAAATTAGAATTAGAACTTGAAATCACTCTTACGATAATCAATGAGAACTATAAGTCCTCTCCCCTTCCTCAGAATCAGTCCAGACTAGTTTCCCAAGTGACTCAATTTTGCAATGGACTAAAGCGCTAAATAAGAATTAATGCTTTTCTTTTCAAACAACACCATGGTGGCTACCAGTGAGAAAGGGGAGTGGGGGAGGTAGGAAAGGGTAAAGGGGTCAAGTATATGATGTGGAAGGCGACTGGATTTTGGGTGGTGAACACACGATGCAATATACAAATGATGTATTACAGAACTGAACACCTGAAACCTATATAATTTTATTAACCAATGTTACCCAAATAAATTTAATAAAATAAAAAAGGAATTATTATTATTATTTTTTAAATCTCTATCTCTTATGCATGGAAGAGCTTTACATTGTTTCTTACCTCAGGCAGAGACTTTATTTTGCCAAGTATAAACTTTTGCAGTGAAGGAATTCAGACCAACCTGGAAATACTGTGTAGATCAGAGAGCTCTGAGAAATCAGACTGTTTTTATAGCACATTAAGGTTACAATGCCAGTTAATTTCAGTTTTGATCAATTCCTCGTAATGAGGAAATATGCAGGATCCCTGTACCCATCCTTGTATCGGAGGTAGTGATAACTCCCATGTAAAGAATGCCAGCATTTGACTATGGATGGTGAATCAACATTGGGGGTCTGGTTGGCAAAATAAAGGACAAGGTTTACAGGGTAGTAAGTTTCCACTGAGGTATACATTTTCCCAGCTATGACTTTTCCTATGTAAAGATCAATGAAGTTTAAAAGTGGAAGGAAAAGGAGAAAGAAAAGAAGGAGAAGGAGAAAGAAAGAAATCAAACCAGGTAATCTTGCCGATTCCATGAAAGTGACCAGTCTGCTGTGCTGGCAGCAAGTCGGTGGTTCTCCATGTGCAGCCCCAGGAGCAGGAACTGTCAGCTCCATCTGGGAACTTGTTACAAATGCAAATTCCTGGCCTCGCCAGTGACCCACTGAAGGAAAATGCCTGGGGCTGGGGCACACGGATTTGTTTTTTAACAAGCTTTTCAGGTGATTCAAGGATAAGAATCACTGGCCTAAGGAGACAAGTTGTTCTAAAACTTCCAGAGAGTCTTGTTTCTTTTTGAAGAGACTCTTGACCTTTTGGATCTTGACCTGAGAATCCAACATTCTACAGATCTTTAAAATGTTCATTATCCTTGGTATTCTTGGCCCCCAAGGAATGTGGCTCAAAGAGCATGCGTTTTTGAGACATTTAGAAACTTTTTAACAACTCCCTTTGCTCCTCAGGCCCCAGTGGTAATCAGCCCAGTCCTGCTTCCTGAGCCCAGTCCAATAGTTTCTCCCTGGAGATATTGCCTCCCCCTAGGATCACACCAGTTGTTGTATATGTGAGGTTTGGGCACTGGCTAGGAAACTGAAGCTGCAGGAAAAGCGTCTCCAAGAATATCTGAGGCCTGAAGCCTCTCTCTCCTTCTGGGCTGAAGAAGGTGAGAGACCAGCATTCCCTCAACTGTAAATAGATTGGCTGTGAGAAGGATCTAGAAACATTGGCTGGAAGGTGAGGAGAATAAACAAGTGACATAAATTTGACATCAGTAAGTCTAAAGTGTGAGGAGGGCCTCAGAACGTAATGCAGGGGAATGTGATGTTGAAAACAGATGCCTTGAGTTGCAGGTGAAAATCGAGGCTTTTAAAGGCTAAGTGAAGAATTGGCCCACTGATTTAGGGGGGAGTATGCTGAGAGCAAAGGGTAGGGAAATACACCACAAAATTCTCCACATAGTCACTTAAAACAAGATCGCATAATTGCCTACTAATACATTAAGTTAGAGAGCATTTTTTGAGCAACTGCTAGATTAGAGTTACTGTTATAGGTGCTGGGGCTACTAAGTTATTGAATTTACAATCTAGTTAAGAGAGACAAGAGGAAAAAAATAAATAACTGTTATGTCTGAGGTATTTATAAAATGTATTGGAACCCAGAGAAATGAGAAATTACTTCTGATTGGGAGACATGCAACCAGGAGTACAGAGAAGGGAGTATCTGAGAATTTAGTTGAGAAGATAGTAGAAGGTATTCCAGGAAACAGAATTCACTACTAAAACTATGGCAATAACCAAGCATATGAATTTCTTGAAGACAAATCAGTCCCTGGGTACGGGGGTGCTGATTAGAAAGGTAGATGGGGGCTACATTTGATAGCTTTGTATGACAAGCTAAGAGGGAGCCGCACGTACATACATACCTTGGATTGAGCTACAAAGCATGTTAGGGGACGTCTAAGAGTTCCAAGTTTTAAGCTGTGGGCACTGCACAGTCATTATAAGATCATAACGAGGGAGAAACGGATCAGATATGACTTTAGAAAGGTCTCTTTGATAGCTATCTAGAAAATGGACTGGAATGGAAGCAGAAGGATGAGATTAAAAAGACCTCTAATAGAGAATAGATTGCAATAGGCAGGTGGGGAGGATGGGAAATTGAGACAAGGGGGCGGGAGTGAGAGGCCACTTCTCCCCTCACGTGTTACTCTCTATCTCTCATCTTCCATCCCCTCCTCCACCTTCGGTCCCATTTCCTCCCTCGCCCCATCAGCTTTCCACTCCCTTCCTCCATGTGCTCTCTTCTTTCATCTCACTCCCTCTTAATCTCCCTTCTTTATTCCCGTGTCTATCCTATTTCCCTTATTTCAACATCCTCCTTTGTTTTCTACCCTTGTATTCAGTAACATATTCTAAAATTCTTATTCTTTTCAGAAGAGCTCTCTGAGTCCCCTTCACACAATTTCATCATGTATTTCTTAGTCCAGAGGATCTCTCTCCCCCTTCTCTTTTTTGTCTCCGCACACACACCATGTATGTCCTGTCTTCACTCAATAAGGGGCCACCTCATCAGTGACATCCGGGAAAGGGGGCAGGGAGGAGGTGCACACCCAGCAGTCAATATCACGAGCTTTTTGAGTATTAAGTATCAGCAAGATTGGGCACAAATAAATGATAAGATCTACATTCATGCCTCTGGGAGCTTACAGTTGAATTATGGAGGAAAAACATAGACATGTGAAAAGTTCATTAACATTATAATGTATCAAATGTTGCAGGAAAAATGGTAGGTAGAAAAATGTATTAGAGACAAGAAGAAGAGAGGACGTCATTTGTGTAAGAGACTACACAGAGGAGAGTGATTATCATTTACTATTCCAGGTACTGTTCTGGGAACTTTATGTGTTATTTTCTTTAATCCCAAAGGTTATTCTCTAAAGAAAACATTTTTTTATTCTGCATTTTATTGCAGATATGGAAACTGAGACTGAGAGATTAAGTAACTCACTCAAGGTCAAATCTCATGGAAAGAAAAACCCTGACATTTGACTGCAGGTCTGTTGGACTCCAAGTGTCTTCCCACCACTTTATTACACTGAATCTTTAAAAGGTATGTTGCGTGTGTCTCTGGATGGCTTTAAGGTCATAAATATATATATTCCAGCACCAACTTGTAAACGCTCCAGCGACAAGGTTATCTAATCAGCACCTGGTGCTACAGTCTGCCGATGAGGATGACCATCACATTGGACCTGGACAACTTGGTTTAGCCCCTGAGCACTAAAAGTGACTTCATGTATCTATGTATGTGGTTCATTTTCCTTCAGTGTATCAAAAAGACACCATGGAATCAGGGAACCACACATTGGTGTCAGAATTTGTCTTCCTGGGTCTCTCAAAGACTTGGGAGCTCCAGCTTTTCCTGTTCCTGGTGTTTCTGTTTGTCTATACCACCACTGTTTTGGGAAATCTCCTCATCGTGGTCACAGTGACCTCAGACTCACAGCTTCGCACTCCCATGTACTTTCTGCTTCGAAATCTGGCTGTCTTAGACCTCTGTTTCTCCTCAGTCACTGCCCCAAAGATGCTGGTGGACCTCCTCTCTGAGAAGAAGACCATCTCCTACCAGGGCTGCATGGCCCAGATTTTCTTCTTCCACTTTCTGGGAGGTGCCATGGTCTTCTTCCTTTTGGTGATGGCCTATGACCGCCTTGTTGCCATCTCCCGGCCTCTCCACTATGTCACCATCATGAGCACTCAGCTCTGTGTGGGGCTGGTAGTGACAGTGTGGATGGTAGGTTTCGTCCACTCCATTACCCAGCTGGTTCTGATGCTCCCGCTGCCTTTCTGCGGCCCCAATGTCCTGGATAACTTCTACTGTGATGTCCCACAGGTGCTGAGACTTGCCTGTACTGACACCTCCATCTTAGAGCTCCTCATGATCTGCAACAGTGGGTTGCTGGATGTCATCTTGTTCTTTCTCCTCCTGACCTCCTACTTGGTCATCCTGGTGATGCTGAGGTCCCACTCAGGACAGGCAAGGAAGAAGGCAGCTTCCACCTGCACCACCCACATCATTGTGGTGTCTATGGTCTTCATTCCAAGTATTTACCTCTATGCCCGGCCGTTCACCACCTTCTCCATGGACAAGGCTGTGTCCATCAGCCACACAGTCATGACCCCCATGCTCAACCCCATGATTTATACCTTGAGGAACCAGGAGATGCAGGCAGCAGTGAAGAGATTAGGGAGACACTGACTGGTTTTTAAAAGGGAGTGACAGTGGGTAGGTCACTTCTCTTTGGCTTTGTTTTCCATTTGTAGAGAGAACAGAGAGCCACTGTATCTGTTCTCTTTATGGTGGATATGTTGTGCAGGTCATCACAGAAGTGAGTGAGTTTTGAAACTAAGCAACTTGCTCAGATTTTTAGGAAAAGAAAAATATCTTTGTTTTTGTTTGTGATGTATGGTTTGAACACTCTTATGATAATAAAGTTTATTCTCATGGAAACATTCTGGAAAATTACTCCCTCCTTTCCACCTTCCTGAGGGACAGTCTCCTTCTGTGATGACAGCATTTCCCCATAAGAGCAGTTCTATTTTCTGTGTTTTGACCCCATTCTCCACTATCCCTTTGGCCTTTGTCCAGAGTGATAGAGAGAGTGCAGAACTTGGAGACTTAGCCCCAAACTGGGAGCCCTTGTTCCATTACCTGCCAAACTTGTGACTTTGGATGTGCCACCTGGCCTCCCTTGGACTCACGGAGTCTTCCTTACTGAACTGGCATAAAACAGTATCTGTCCCTACAATCTCACGGATTTGTTACAAGATTCAAATAATAATGCATAAGAATATTATGAAAATCATTGAGCTTATTTAAGGATTATTGTTATTGTTACTACTATGCCTGGCATTTATTCTTTCATCAGTTAAGTAGTGTTTTAGAAGTAGGGCAGAAATTCCTCAGTGCAGCAAGGGAGGCACGGAGAGGGAGGAGGCTGAACTCCAGAGGGGCCACGCCACTGTCCCAAGTGTGAAACTGAGAAGAGAAAGTGACATAAATTCAGGGCATGTCTGCAAGACTCTGACTACTTACTGCTATTTTCCTACCTACACCCATTTTCAGTCGCAACACTTCTTGCAGACAGGAATGGGATCATTCGTTCATTCATTGATTAATTCATTCATTCATATTTGTAAATATGCATTAATAAAGCCTGATGTAATACTTTATAAGAAGTGCCCTATAACAGTTTTTTGACTCTATCTTTTTCTTTCCCTTACACTGATAGATATCCTATCTCTCCCTTCCCTTTTCCCTCTCTCCCTCCTCCCACTGATTTCTGCCAGTTTAGCCTTTACATCCCCCGGGGTTTCCCCTGCACCCCGCCCTCCGCCAATTCACTGGTGTGCCTCCTGTCCTCTCTGCCTGGACCTCCACTCCACACTCCCTCATATCTTTCCTCCACCATCAACCTGGGGCTTTGGGGCCAGGTTGTTAGGCGGAGTGAAAAGAAGAAATAGATTATCATTAGAGTTGAAGGGGCTATGACTCAAACAAATTTAAATTAAAAAAAGGAGATTTATTTTAAGGATATAAGATGGAGTTGGGTATTGTGAAAATATGAAGCTGTCAGGGCTGACACACAACTCATCTCTCCCTTCTTCCCTCCCTTCATCCCTCCCCACTTACGCAACCACGTTTACATGGCGCAAAGGGGAATCTCAGCCCAAAAGCCTGAATTTTCTATTCTGCCTTCCACAGTTGACTGGCTCCGTCTTTCATGGTTCAGATTCCAAAGTCTCATAAGAATAATCTGATTGGCTTAGATTGGACCATGTGTCCCATTTGGCTGAGGGGTATGTAGGTCATGTGACATGAGCGCGTCCATTCAAGCCCACCCCTTCAGCAGGGATTGTGGGTGAGGGTTGTTTCCAGAGAAGGAAATGTCAGTGAACAGACTCCCCCTAAACATGTCTGCCATGAAAGGAACAATCAGGGCATCCCTTAAATGATATCCGAGGAACTGAACATTAGTTATATCTGGACATTCATGTTTTATTCATTTGTTAAACTAATATTTGCTGTTTGGGTATCTCACAAGAGGCAGTGTCCAATGGGTCATGTCCCCCACTGAGGCCCTCATATCCCCCTCATTCGTTAAGTCACTGATTCAAAGCAGAGTCTGTCTTATCTGCAAGGCCACTCTCTTCCTCCCCCTGCCCCCAGTTCCTGCGCCTGGGAGTTCCCAGTGTGACAGAGGAGGTGAGGTACAGCTCTCAAGAAGGCCAAGGCAGGAGGGAGAGGGAGGGAAGGGGCCTAGCCCTCAGCTGACCCCTCATCCTGAGCCTGTGCATCTTCCCAGTGCTCATTGGAGACCCCCTCTGAACATCTAGAACATCTCTGCCCATTGCTGACTTTACTAGCAGATTATAGAGGTCAAACCCTTGCTCAAGGTCATACCGCCAGAGTGATACTGGGCTCCCAGGCAAGCTCTCCAAAGCCCCACAGTGAGTTTTTTCTGGCTTTGCTAGAAACAAAACACTCAGAGCCACCTCTCTCAGGAGTGCCCCTGGCGCTGGAACACGTACATGCACACATGCAAACACGTGCACACGTTTCTGACCTGACCCAGTCTCTGACACAGTGTAGAGCTGTTGCAGTTTGAGTTAAGCCCCTTCTCCCTGCAGACTTCAGTGTTCTTGTCCTGAGAATAGGTCCAAGGACCCTGTTCCCAACAACCCCTTGGAATGGGAGCAGGCCCGCCGGGCCCTGAGCTCTGCTCTGCTGCAGCTGCCTCCGCGGGGGCCGTTGGGGTTGAGCAGATAAAGAGATCCAATCAGCCCTGTGGTCAGCAGTTCCACTGTGGCTGGTGGACAGTTCTTGTGAAAGTGGTTGCAGAATACAGAGGTTTTGAGATGGCCTGAGGGAGGCGGGAAGGAAGGGTCTTGGGCATTGCAGCTGAAAGATGCCCGGGAGGGAAGGCTCCCTCATGGGCTTGAGTCTGGGCCTCAGCCTGGCAGAACCAGTCCCTGCAAAGGCGTCCAGTGTCCCAGGGCGAACAATGCCTCTGACCAGAGACACCAGGTCCTAATAGATGTACAGGCACAACCCAATCCTTTACCCAAGAGCTGTGACAGACAAGGTCACGGTGGATGCATCCATTCCACAAATACATACGGAGGCCCTGCCAGGCATTATGTTATGTGCTGAGGCTACAGTGATCGACGGAACAGGCACACACCTTCTCTGTATGGCACTCACAGACATGAAGGGAGTTGTTGCTTCATTAGGTCCAACCATAGAAATACATGTATAATGACAGCGATGTTAAGTTCTATGGAAGGAGCTCTAAGAGTAAGGACCAGGAAGACCCAGCCACTTGAGTTGGGTCTGGTGGGGCCGCAACAGGAAAGGATCCCTGCAGTTGGGGCCTGGAGGGTCTGTAGGAATCTCCAGCCACAAAAAGGAAAAGGTTTTCATAGTTGGGACCCATAGCAGGTAATGGTGAGCCCATTTCAGGAGCTGAAAGCCAGCAGGTTTAGAGGGCAGAGGAATAGAGAGAGGAGATGGGGCTCTGGAGAGGGGAGGGGGCAGGAGCCAGATTGTGCGAACCTGGGGCTTTCTTTCTTTAGGAGAAGATGAGTTGGCAGAGGAGATAGCATACCCATGGGCCCAGTGGTACCCAGTCCCCTAGGACCTCATTGTCCTATGGCCACCAAGGAGGGAGGGAGAGCAGTTGAAAGGCTGGCTGGTCAGGGCCTGATGCCTCAGGATGACCCCATCCTTCTGCTCGCCCCCTTACTCACGGTTTCCAAGCAGCCTTATCTCCTCCTATTACTCCAGGGGGTCTTTTTGCTGTTTCTCATGATAAATCCTTTCTTCCTGTGTGGCTTGGTCTTGGAACTGGATTTTGCCATTTCGCTTTAGGAGAAAGAGCTCTCCTGCACAACTCCCCAGCCTCTATGGTCCAACCAGGCCCTGGGCCTGTAAACCTCAAAGGAATGCATTTGTATTACTTATCCTTTAACAAGCACTGTATTCTATGTGGAAGTCAATTCTCAGTTACATGATGGCTCCCTCAGACACATGCATTCACTTCGAGAGTAAGTTCCAAATCATCTGGGTTCAGGATCATCTGAGCTGGCGCTGGCTTAGCCACAAACATTGTTGAGTACCTGCTGCGCACCAGGCACTATGCTAGCATTCTACATTTATTGCTGTAATGACTCTAAGTTACACATTAGTTACAAATGACTTGTATTTGACAATGAAGAGCTAAGCGCAGCAGATGAGGAGCTTGACCAAGTGGATGAGGGTGCTGGGACCGGGACCCAGGTCAGTTCTTAGCCACCTCTCTGTGCTGCTCTCGACAAGCTCCTGGGAGCTAAGTGCTGTGGCTCCCAGAGAGAGGCTTCCTGCAGAATCAGCAGAGGCCTGGAAGCAGAAGCGGAGGGGAGGGGGTGAGAGTAGGGTGGGTGTTGTGCCTGGAGGGTTGAGCTGGCTGGAGCGCAGGGGCAGGGTCCCGTGGGGCAGGGTGGGCAGCTGAAAGCAGACTGAAAGGGCAGGAGTTCAGGCAGCAGACCTGGTGTTTCCTTCGGTCCCCTTGCCTACATCTCTGCCTGCCATCCTGCCCCTGCCATGCCTGGGAAACCTGCCCTCCATAGGCTGGTTGTACAGGACCCCTTGGAGGCCCCTTCCTATCTTCTTGCATCTCATCAGCACCTCGAGCACTCAGCGGGCCAACCCCCTAGAGATTGGCCAACATGGCAGGCAGGGTCTAGGGCCCAGGGTCCTGTCTCAAGCTTGTGCCAATAACCTGCAGCAGCCCACAGCTGTGACAAACCCTTGCACAACTCGCTATTGCTGAAGAGCGAGTCCTCTCAGAGGGCAAGCAGAGCTCACTCTGAGTTTTCCTTGAGGGTACCCTGGGAGGTGGGTAATCTAGGTCCCACCCCAGCTTCCAGCCTTCTGGGGGTACCTGGCTTCTTGAGGTCCAAAGGGTAAGCACTCTTGAGAGCAGGCTACCATTTTTTAATTCTCTCTCCTTCATGAGGTTCACTGTCCCCATCCCACTGAGGTCCAGGGAGTGGTGTGATTTATCCCAGGCCATGTGGGGGTAAGTGTACTTCTGGCAACTCCACAGTGACTTTCCATCCAGGCCCCCTTGTCACAGGAGAGGGGCCCCTGCTGAAGATCAGGAGATAAGATTAGGGCCCAGGCCTTCAACTGGAGCTTGTGAAAGGGATTGCCGAAGGGGCTATTTCAAGAGCAACTGTCAGGCCAGGGTGTTGGTGTGGGGGGAGAGGGCTGTGGAGGGCGTCTCCTTCATGGAGACGTCGGTAGGGCATGGAAGATAAGACAGTGGGAGACAAGAACACTCAGAACAGCCCTGCTGCGAGTCTGCAGCAGGTATGGGGTCTACACGGAGGAAGGGATAGACACGTCCACCTGGAGAAGAGGCGAAGATGGGCAGGCTGCAGAGCTCGGCAGGGGTGATCCTGGAGCTGAGTGTGAGAGGGACGAGCGCAGGCTCTCCAGGCAGACCAGGGTGGGGTTGAAGCAAAGGTGAGCCTGGGTCATCCAGTGGAGGGAACTGCAGGAGGAAATTCAAGAAGGTATGAGAAGCCGTGTCCCCTTGCGGGAAACTGTTTGAGGCGTTACGATGTGGAAATGAAGGCTTAGCCAATGTCACCCAGGTAGTGACAGAGCCAGATCCAACCCAGGTGGCTCTGAGCCCCTGTAGCAAGCCTTCTCTAAGAAAGCAACTGCCAATCAGCCCAACAGGAGGTCAGAATTTACACTTACTACTCAGTGCACACCTACTACTCCTAAGTACTTAAATTCATGGAGAAGCACCAAGCCCAAGACAGGTCTCCAGCTTTTAAGGAAGCCTCTGCTACCATTACTCTGCTGGGTGCTTTACTGTGACATCTCACTGTGTGCCCCAGATGGCCCCAAGAGGTAGCCCCCTTAATTTTCAGGCCATGACTCAAGCATCGTCTCATCCTCTACTGGCATCCTGGAGAGAGCTGGTAAGGGTAGGGAGTGAGGGGAAGGGGCTGAATCCTTAATCCCCCATCATGAATTCACTCAACAAACATTTATTGAGCACCTACTGAATGTCAAGCCTTGTGCTGGGGGGAGTATGGGGAGATAACTACAGTAAGACAGACCCAGTTTCTGCCCTGTTGGGGAAGGAGAGGAGTGTTTCCTGCCATCTGGCTCAAATCCCATTTTAGGGATGTGAAAACTGAGGTCTGGAGAGGGGACATGACCACACAGCCAGTGAGTAGTAGGACCAGGCACAGTCCTCTTTGGAGGGATGCTGTTTCTCCGTCATCCAGCAAACTTTCACTGAGCAACCTGGGCTCTGAGAGAACTAGATCAGTGAACTCAACAGCAAAGAGGGTGAGGGTGGGGTGAATGGAAAGGAGAGAAGAAGGTCCCCAGCCTGGTGAGCTGCAGGGTGGTGTGGGTGTTTCAGTCTCACAACTGCCCCCCAAAATAAAAGGGAAGTTCTAGAGCTCCACCTCAAGAGGCTGGGTTTCTGGGCCCAGAACTCCCCTCCCTCACTGTAGGACAGGATATAAAAGTCCCTTGCCGGCTACTTCCAAAGAAGTGCAGGAGGAGGGGAGAGATCAGCTTGGTGCCCTTCAGGTGAGAAGGCAGCAAGCTGCTCCCCTGGTATGCAAGACGTAGGTGTTGCTCGTTGCCCCACTGTGGCTGGGGGTCTCATTGTGGAGATGAAGCTGCTCCTGGCCCTGGCGGGGGTCATAGCCACACTCATCCTGGTCCAGCCTTGTGAGGGTGCTGCCCCAGGTAATAGCCCCTTGGACAATTATGAAGAAGGGCAATGGAGGGGAATGTGCTTGGGTCTGGGATGGGAGGGTTTGCTTTCCTGAACCCCGAGTCCTCTTCCCTCTGAGCAGCTTCCCCCATGGCAGTGGAGACATCAGTCCTTCAGGACTGCGTGAGAGAGGCCAAGCTGCTGGTGGATGCCGCCTACAATCGGACTCAGAGGAGGTGGGCTTGGGCCCAGGGTCTGCACGGGCCTGGGAGGATCAATGAGGGAGGATGGGCTGCAACCAAGGTCACCTCACCTGGCGTCTTGCCCCTGGGCACCATGGGGGCAGGGCCATGTTGGTAGAGAGCCTCCCTTCCATCCATCTACCTGCTTACACTGTCTTGACTGTGCACCACCTGGGATGGGGCCCTCTTGGGTGGGTCCACTTCCTTTGATCAGCCCTCCCTCCTCCTCTTCTGCGTAGAATCAAGCAGCGCCTTCGAAGTGGTTCTGCCAGCCCTGCGGACCTCCTGTTCTACTTCAAACAGCCGGTGGCGACCACTAGGACAATTGTGCAGGCTGCTGATTACATGCATGTGGCCTTGGGGTTGCTGGAGGAGAAGTTACAACGGCAGGGGTCCAGTTCCCCCAATGTCACTGGTACTGGGCTCCCCTTTGGGCCCTCAGGGCTGCCCTGGTCTGGGAGTGGAAGGGAGCCAGGAGGGGGAGGCAGGCTGTGCAGCCTTGCAATGCGAGGGGGTAAAGGGGTGGGAGGGACAGAACAGACCAGCTCAGGAGCTAGGATCCTTGACCCAGACCCTGTCCGCCTGCCCCCCTCCTCAGATGTGCTGACGGAATCCCAGCTGTGGCTGCTGTCCAAGGCCAGTGGCTGTGCTGTCCGGGCCCAAGAGGAGAAGTGCAGTAACAAGTATCGCACCATCACTGGGAGATGCAACAACAGGTGGGTGCCAGGGCTACACCTGAGCGGGGGGTGCCTCCCTTGCTTCACCATCTGCCCCACACTCAGAGTGGTCTCCAGGTCCGGAACCCCGCTGACCTGAGCTCACCCGCTGCTGCAGGAGGATACCCTGGCTGGGGGCCGCCAACACTGCCCTGAAGCGCTGGCTGCCAGCGCAGTATGAGGACGGGCTGTCGCGCCCCTTCGGCTGGACTCCTGGCTGGAGGCGCAATGGCTTCCTTCTCCCTCTGGTGAGTTGGGGCTGTGGACCTGGAGGGGGCTTGATCTCTGCAAAACTCAGGGTTGGGGGACAGTAAAAGCATAGCCCAGAGTCAGCCAGACAGGACTGGAATCCAGGCTGTTCCCCGGGCTGGCTGGGTGACTTTGGGCAAGCAATACATCTGAGTCTCGGTTTGTGTATCTGTAAAGCGGGGCAGTAAAGCCTGCCTCATGTTGCTGGCATGAATATTAAATAAACATCCATATAGATATAATCTATTATAGGGTATTTTTTTTCTGAAAGAATTCGTGTCAAAGTATCTTGCTAAATACAAGAGTCAGCAGAAGGAGGTTTACAGTTGTCATATAAATAAATAATATAATAATTATTAAATAACGGAAGGATCAATGCTCTGTTTTGCATATTCGCAACTGTAATCCTACTTTTGTCCACCCCTGTATAAAGGCTGTACACTTTAATCTAGTTATAGCTACTGATGACACTGTTTCACATTTATGAACTTATCAATTTTCTATTCATATGTTAATATAGTAACCTATCACTTACCTATCAACAACTATTTATTAATTTTTCTTCCATTGATCTATCCATTCTCTCCATATTTATTATCCATTACCTAGCAACCAGTCCATGCATCTATCAATCAGTGCTATCATCCAGTTATCCATTAGTTTATAAATTAATCTATCGATTTGATGTAATAACCCCTTTGGAAGTGCTGGCGGGATCTGAGCCAGCCAACCCGGCATCTTCCTCCTGGACTCCTCAGGTGCCAGGCCAGAGGCCATCCTTCTAGGAATGACAGCCACTGAGGAGGTGGGACAAAGTAGGACAGGGGAGGGGAGAGCAGGAGAGGAGGAGAGACTATTAACTCCTGCAGGGGCGACCTGCTGCCCTCGTCCTGGGTTGGCTCCAACACTTTTTGGGGTCTGGAAGCCCACCCCTCACACTCACCTGTTCTCCCACCAGGTCCGGGAAGTCTCTAACCAGATCGTGCGCTTCCCCAAAGAGAGGCTGACCTCCGACCACAGTCGGGCCCTCATATTAATGCAGTGGGGCCAGTTCATCGACCACGACTTGGACTTTGTCCCTGAATCCCTAGCCAGAGTGGCCTTCACTGCAGGTGTCGACTGTGAGAAGACCTGTGCCCAGCTGCCCCCCTGCTTCCCCATCAAGGTATCCTCAGCCAACCTCCCAGGTCCCTGGCCTCCATCCCCAGCCAAGAGCTGAGGGTGGGGACCTGGAAGACTTAAATACCATCCTTAAGGAGCTGTCTGAGATGCTAGAATGTCAGATGGAGACACAGCCTGGCATAGACTCCCGTTCTGTGTGTGTTTGAGGGGTGGAGGTGGGGCACTCTTCCAGAAGATTCAGTGCAGGCTTCATGGAAGGGGAAACAAGTGAGACTGGCTTTGACCTATAGGTCTGATCCCAAGAGAGGAAGCCTCTGGGATGCTGGTTTCGGGAGCCGTTAGGGCCTCTTAGTTCTCACCTGTCTCTCCTTCCTGGGGTGGTCCGAGGGCCCTGAAGCTCTTATCACCTCCTGGGATTGGGTTGTGAGCAGGGTGCTGTCTCTCAGGCAGAAAGGCAAGGGGGCTGTGAAACTCTAGGGAAGAGAAGACGCTGGGGCAAGGGGGAGACACGTGTACACACTCATACCACACACCCTCACACCTTCGCCCTCCCTTGCTAGGCAAGGCGGTATCCAGGGGGCATGGTGCGTATGAGGACCCCTGGCTGGCTCCTCCCTGTTGCAACTTCGCCCATTCCTTCAAGCTCTGGTTCAGGGGCATCTCCTCTGTGGAGCCTTTCCATATCTTCCTACATCACCGTTCACTGTTGGCTTTCGGATCAAGCATAGCAAATGGCATGTCAATTTAGAGTTATATCCTCTGTCTGTGTGTCTGTTTTCAACTGAATTGCTAGCTTCCTGCAACGGGTACTGGGCTTTGTTGATCTTCGTATCTCCAAACCACCCAGCCCAGAAAGGTGCTTAGGAAGTAACTGTTAAAGTGAATTAAATGAAAGAAGCAAGGCCTAAATGTCAGGAGAATTAGGTTTCCATCCTTCTTCTCCTGCTAACTCCTTGTCACTTCCCATCTCTGAGCCTCGGTTTTCCCATGAGGAAAATGAGGATTGAAAACTGCATTCATTTCTAACCTCTCATGACTCTATGATACTAAGGACATTTAAACTGACTTGGTGAGCAGTGTGAGTCTGGATAAGTCAAGGAGGGCTTCCTGAAGGAGGGGAGTTTCGAGAAAGGTTTTGAAGAAGATGTGGGATAACCAAGAGGCGTGAGCTTGCCCTTCAGGGCCCCCAGTGCCACTAGTTCCTCTTTCATCTCAGATTCCACCCAATGACCCCCGAATCAAGAACCAGAGAGACTGCATCCCCTTTTTCCGCTCGGCACCCGCATGCCCCCAGAAGAACGTCGTTCGAAACCAGATGAATTCACTCACCTCCTTCTTGGACGCCAGCATGGTGTATGGCAGTGAGGTCTCCCTTGCCCTGCGTCTCCGCAACCGGACCAACTTCCATGGACTACTGGCCATTAACCAGCGCTTTAGTGACAATGGCCGGGCCCTGCTACCCTTCGACAGCCTGCGTGATGACCCCTGCCTCCTCACCAACCGCCCAGCGCGCGTCCCCTGCTTCCTGGCAGGTCAGACTGGGGGAAGGTGGCCTCTTCGTAGGATACGGCCCGTCCCTGGGTTCCGGGTTAGGAGGCGGTGGTGGGGTGCGGTGGGGGTACCTGTCTTCGAACCTCAGAATTAGGCACACCATAGCACAGATCTATGTGTAGTTGCCACAGGCTCCGCAAGTTGTTAGGAATCCCTTTGCAAACGCTTGTTTTTCTCCAGCAGTGCTGACTGTTAGAAAAGTGGCCCAATTTTGATCCAGCCTCCACCTATTGCTCTTCATCACGTTTCTGGAACTTCAGAGCAGAAGTGGTCTATCTTCCACCTACATGTTTATCTTCCCTGGGCTAAATTCCCTTAGGTTTTCAATGCCCCTACCCTTCATTCCTCTGTTGCTAGACACTGTTACCTTGTACCTTCTTCCGGATGCATAATTTGAACTCTCCTTGGGCTCTTTGCCCCCATGTGCTGGTTATGATAATGGGCATCGCTTCTGGTTATTTAATATAGTTAAATGTGCCATCTCTAATCCTTAGAGTAGCCCTGACAGGAGGCTGCTATTATCACCCTCGTTTTACAGATGAGAAACAGGCTCAGGGAAGAAGACTAACGTGCTGTGGAGCACAGAGTTCAGATGGCAGAGTCCACAGTGGGAACTCAAGTCAGGGGAGGGTCCCGGTCTCTGCTCTTTCCACTCTATTCTACCACTTCTTTGTGGGGAGTTGGTTCCAGCTGCCCTTTCTAAGGATGTATTTTTTTTGTTTGTTTGCACCTTTGTGAGAAGCCTCCTGAGGAGTGGATTAAATAAGACTTTGTGCAAAAGGACTTAGTTCAAAGCCAGCAAATAACTGTGTAAGGTCCGCCTTCAGGAATTTATTTTGCTTCCTGGCCTGTAGGAGAGGGTCTGGCTACAGGAAGAGGCTCTGCCCAGCCCTCCCTCTTGCACGATCTATGCCCTCAAAGCTGGGGAAAGACCCAGCCCTTGGCAGAGAACATGCAGATGGATGTAGTTCTTATGACAGGCAGGCTCATGGTCCCCAAGTCAAGGTTCCTAGTCATCCACTTCTCTCCATGAACTGTGGATATGGCTATCTTGTAGAGTAGAATCATTCGGCAAAGATTTTCCTGCCCAAGACTGGCAGCTGCCCTGTGTTTTTCCCACCCCACCCAAACCTGTTCCAGTCACTTAGGGATCCGGACCCCGCTGTTCTCCCCATCCTTGCCCGTTGTGTTGAGGAAGAGAGTGCTGGTCAGTGAGCAGGCCCACGGCCCAGCCAAGGAGATGGAGGTCCAGTGAGGGCCAGGAGCTTGGCCTAGGTCACGAAGTCCTGCCACCGTTCTCTAGTCCCCAGAATTCTGTCTGCCCTAGCAGAAAGACATTTCTCTGGAAGAGCTGTGGTGACTCTGAACTTGGGGTTTTCCAGGTGACTCTCGATCAAGTGAAACTCCCAATCTGGCAGCCATGCATACCCTTTTTATGCGAGAGCACAACCGGCTGGCGACTGAGCTGAGACGCCTGAATCCCCGGTGGTCTGGAGACAAGTTATACGAGGAGGCTCGGAAGATTGTGGGGGCCATGGTCCAGGTAGGAAGTCCTGAGTCCCAGCATCCACTAGAAGAAAATCTGGCATGAGAAGCAATCTGAAAAAGTGGGTCCCACCCTCCTTAACCCCCTCAGGAGTGTGCCTCAGCAAGTCAGGTCTGAGTGATTGTGTGTGTGCCTGAGACCTGACCTATACCCCAAGCTCGCCACTGACACACTGCGTGACCCTGTCCATGTCATTCAGCTTTGCTGGGCTTCACTTATCTCCATCAGCCAATGGGAAATTAAAGCTACATTTGACCCGATGACATTCAAGAATGAACATGTCTGAGTGGCCCTTTGAAAAGCCAAGTATCTGTCCAAAGGTAAGGTAAGGGAGTGTGGTAGGCAGCCTCTAAGGTGGTATCTTCCTATGCTTTCTCTTCTAGATCATCACCTACCGAGACTATCTCCCCCTGATTCTGGGCACGGACCGGGCCAGGAGAACCCTGGGCCCCTACCAGGGTTATTTCTCCAATGTGGACCCTCGTGTGTCCAATGTCTTCACCCTGGCCTTCCGCTTTGGGCACACCATGCTCCCACCCTTCTTGATCCGCTTAGACAGCCAGTTCCGGGCCTCAGCACCCAACTCACATGTTCCGCTCAGCTCCGCCTTCTTTGCCAGCTGGCGTGTTGTGCATGAAGGTGACCAGGTTTTCCAAAGGCAGAGGGGAGTGGGGTTGGGGAGCACCCCTCCTCTGGGTGGGCCAAGCCTCCTGCTGGGAGGCAAGGCTGCTGCTCAGGCCACTGCTAACCATCTCCCCAGGATAGTGACAAGGCAGGTGCCACCAAGACTCTCAGTCACAGGTGTCCCATCCCCTCTGAGATTAGAGATTTCTAAAAGGGGAGGAGACTGATGTCAGACTGGTGGCTTGTGGGCCTGAAAGAAGCGTGCCTTCCTTTCCTTTAAGAAGTAGGGGTGACCCCTTTCCCTGGCAGCCCCACTTTCTTCATGGCCCCCCAGTCCTCTGTTTCCTGAAAGAATCATTATAGAATATAAGCGACTGGCTTATCCAGCTCTGAGCTACTTTGGCAACCTGTGATGATTCAGGGGCTTCTCAGAAGCTGGTCCAATCTGTGCTGCTCACATTTCCTGCCACCAGGCGGCATAGACCCCATCGTGCGAGGCCTCATGGCCACTCAGGCCAAGCTGAACCGGCAGGATTCCATGGTGGTGGATGAGCTCCGAGACCGGCTATTTGAGCAAGTGAGGAGAATCGGGCTAGACCTGGCAGCTCTCAACATGCAACGGAGCCGGGACCACGGCCTCCCAGGTGAGGAGGCTGCCAGGCTTTGCTTGGACCAGGGCCGCTCATGGTAGTGGCGGTGGGGATGGGTTTCAGAGAAGACCCTTGGTGCCTCTTTTTGACCGGGACTGTCTTACAGAATGTGCTCTGGTTCCCAGGTGTGCAAGAACAAGGCTGACGCAGTGGGGCATTCCTGGGATACCTCTTTGCTGCTCTGCTACATCTTCTCTGTCTGTTGCAGGGTCTCTGGGTTTATGTTCACAACAGGACCAGGATTTGGGAACAGGAGATGAACAAAGGTGATCAGGATTTTTCCAAGTAGAGAGAAACAGATGTAAAAGGCAGCAGAGAAATGCTCAATTCCCTAGCACCTTGGCAAGTTTCAAGGAGAAAAGGCTAAAGTTCCAGGGACTGAGAAACTAGCCTCTAAGAGGAGAATGGCAGAGCCTGAGAGGCAGGGAACAAGTCAGGTAAAACTAAGGCTGCCTTGGCTGTTTGGTGAGGACCTGGAAAGCTTTATTCCGGGAAGGAAGACAAATTACGCACTATGCTAGGAACTTCTGTGGATATTAACTCACTTAATCTTTCCAGTGACCACAGACATGTTTATAGGAAAGGAAATAAGCTCAGACACCCGGTAATTTGCCTAATGCCACATAACTAATAAGTAGTACAATTTGAATCAAATTCAGAATTTCTTCTTTCTTCCCCCTGGTCAATCCACAAGTCAGGGGAAGGCTCTGCCCATGGCCTTGCTTCTCTGTCCCTCTCCCCACCTTCCACATTCTTGCCCACATACAATCTGCAGCTCCATCTGCCTCGCCTAATCTTTGGCTCTGTCGTAACAGCGTAGGGGGAATTTCTACTGCCCCTAACTGGCAGGTTCACAAGAACCAGTTTCTTTCCTTTGTTACACTTGGCTAAAGAACTGTGGGCGCCCCCTGCTGGAGAACTGAGATTGCTAGCTACTCGAGTTGCCACAGAGATTTTTGTTCCCCCAATACCTGTTCCCTGCAAGCTGTCCCAGAACTCTTTTCCTGATACTACCTCTTATACTCTATTCTGATCCCTTCTAAAATCCAACACCAAATTTGAAATTGGAAGACCGCGTTTGAACTCCACTTAATAGTAAAGCGACCTTGCAAAAAAAGTCACGGTTGCTTCAGCTCAGCAGCTATCCATTGATAAAATGGGAATAATAAAGGTATTCTGAGGGTCCTGAGAGATACGTATTCAGGCAACAGAGCATAGTAGTGGTAAAGCATGATACGGTTTTCCTTTGATCAGCTGGGGGATGGTGACTGTCAGTTGCAGTTCCAGGGGCGCCGTTGGGCTAGTGTTCCTTCAGGTTATGGCAAAGCCATCTCTTACACTGAGGGCGCCACCACATCAGGTAGCCTGATCCTGGTGTGAGATGCTGATAGCTGGGAATTCAGCATGGCTAGTCTTTGGAAGTTTCTGAGTAGGCAAAAAAATTTTTAAAACAGCTTTGTTGAGATGTAAAATTCACACATAGAAAGTATACAATTGAATGACTTTAATATACAGTGGTGCCATCAGTCACCGTATCTGTTATCGGAACATTTTTATCACTCACAAAAGAAACTGCACAGTTAACGGTCAATCCCCATTCCCACCCCAGCCCCTGACAACCACTAATTTATTTTCTGTCTCTGCATATTTGCCTATTCTGGACCCTTACATAATGGAATCACACAGCATGCGGTCCCTTTCTGAATAAGCTGTATTCGCGTTTTTCATTTCTTGTTCATTCACTTACTTCTTCATTCATTCATTCTGCAAACCTGACTGACAGTCTCTTGTGTTCTGGGTACCATGTTAAGCATGGTTGTCTGTTTGCATTTGATCTCTGGTTCAGGGACTCTTCTGCCCGCAGGCTCTTGTTCTGCCCAATATGGCCTTACCACAGAGCTCTCAGGAGAAATGTGGAAAGAACCAGAAAGTAATGGGAAGACAGCAGGGTTGGGACTGAAACTGCTTCTGCCCCTTTCCCCTCAGGGTATAATGCTTGGAGGCGCTTTTGTGGGCTCTCCCAGCCCAGGAATCTAGCACAGCTTAGCCGAGTGCTGAGAAATCGGAATTTAGCGAGAAAGTTCCTGAATGTGTACGGGACGCCTGACAACATTGACATCTGGATCGGGGCCATTGCAGAGCCTCTTTTGCCAGGGGCCCGAGTGGGGCCTCTTCTGGCTTGTATTTTTGAGGACCAGTTCAGAAGAGCCCGAGCTGGAGACAGGTAAGTGACTTGACCATAAAGAAACTAGCCCCACAGCAGGAAAGAAAAGCACTAGCATATATAGACTCCGAGGTCACAAGATGGGAGACCAGGAGGGTCCAGGAGAGCCTGGGCAGAGGGCGTGAGACCACTGACCCAGGAGGGCTGGTATTGCCTGCGCCAGAGGTGCCATTAACCCAGGAAAGAGATGTCACAGCCTCGCTATTCCAGGCTAAGGATCCCGGAAAACAGGGGTAAAAAGGGCTAAATCTGCTTTCCTTCCAAGAAGCTTTTTGGTTTAAGACCTGATTTATTTGCGTTTGAACTTTACCTAGGTTCAGATATGGCCCTGGCCACTTAAATTACTGTGTATTTAACACTGGGCAATTTACTTGACCACTGAACCAGTTTCTTATAAAACGGGAAAAATGGCTATTTTGCAGGAAGTTTGTGAAAACTGAATGAAATAATGTACCTGGCATACAACTGGGGCTTATTACATGTTAATTCTTCCTCAACCTTCATTCACATCTCTCGACTGTCTTGGAAGGTTCTGGTGGGAGAAACGAGGCGTTTTCACCAGGAGACAACGTGCGGCCCTGAGGCAGATTTCCTTGTCTCGAATTGTGTGTGACAATACTGGTATCACCACCGTTCCGAGGCACATCTTCAGGGCCAACGCCTTCCCCCGGGACTTTGTGAGCTGCAGCAGCATCCCCAGGTTGAACCTGTCAGCCTGGAGATGCAATTGAGGCCTCTGCTGGTAAGGGGAGGCCCTCCCCCAAGAGCCATGGGCTGGGACAGGTCCTCAACTTCCTTCCCCAGATGGGACAGCTGAGTCGTCTTGGGCCTCTAAGCAGGGACAACAGAGCTTGTCACTAGGGGAAGGGCACTTGTTCCTAGTGGCTTCCCAGTATGCTAGCATCTGGGATGATGATTAATCCCACCCAGGGCCGAGAACTTTGGGGGCAGGGGTCTGCGATTAGGAAGATGCAGCTGGTCTTAGCTTAGTCATCAACACTCTGAAACAGTTTCATTTCTGGATGTCCAGCAAGTTTCTCACATGTCCACTTCTGCTGCTTCCACAGGACTCCATCCCAAGCCTCCAACCTTGGAGACAGGGAACTTCGGGAAGACCCCAAGTTTACCCTTCTCCCTGGAGGAGCCATACCCTGCTGATGCTTTCGCTGGCTACAGCTCAGAGCTGGTTCTTTGGCTGGGGGTGATAGGTAGTGTGCCCAGCAGCAAGGCTCCCACCCGCCTTGGGAGCTAAGCAAGGAGATCCTGAGGCCTCTGAAAGAAGTCACCTGTGGGGGGGTTTCCAGCCACTTTCTTACAGTGTATTTCCAAGCCCATCCCCTGCTTCCACCTATGACTAGGAGACCACATAGTCCCAGCCTCTGGCCACCCCAGAATCCTCCTCGGGAGCCTGCAGGCTGGGCAGCATGCTCTGCTTCTGCCAATATATTAGCTCTACTGGGGGCAGGAGCTGGTTTCTGTGCTGGGCTGGGGAGGGTGTGACCTCAGTCCTGAGCTTTGTTGCAAGTGTTTAGGAGGACTGCTGCTAAGACCGGACTGCCACTAACCTAACCTCTAAGCCTCTCCGGCGCGCTGAGTTAAGAGAATCAAAAGAAACACTCGGGAGTAGGAAAAGGCAGGAAGGGGGAAGAGCAGCAGTGCCAGGAGCCCTGACATCAAGGAGAATACCCCAGTCGTGCCAGCGACCTGAGCAGAGAAATAACCGACAGAACATCAGTCCGTATAAAAAGCTTTTATGTATAAAAAACACAATAAAGACACTACCCAGCCAGCAGCAAGGACTGGGCACTGCCTGTAGCCTTCATTTGCTCCAGAAATAGTTGCATCTCAAACGCAATGAGCCTCACGCAGTGGGACGAGGATCCCCGTGGGGGAAGAGGCTGGGACTCCTGGATGGGGAATGTGAGGTCTCCCCTCACTTTCCTCCTCCCTCCACTTGTAAAGAGGTTGTGGAGAAGCAGGCGCCGGCAGCCCATGGCTGCCGAGCCTGAGAGACAAGCCAGAAAAGAGGCTGTGTGGGACAGAACTACCTATGGGGTTATCCCAAACTAGCCTCAAACCAAAAAACCTGTCTTCTTGCGATGCCCACTCGCAGCAACCGAAATATGAACATGGGGGCCCCAGGGTCTCTGGCTTTTCTGCCATGTGGCAGGAAGAAGACCCTGCAGACTAGGCAGGGGGCTGGCCTGGGGACTTCCTCAGCACCTCCGGTTCTCAGCAGGTCTCTAATGAGAAGGATGAGGCGGTGGGAGAATACTGGCCTTGGCTGCCACCCGTCGTATCCTCTTGCACAGAGGAACAGAGCTGCAGCAGGCTAGGAGACCAGAGCTCCCGAGGGGCTAACTAGGTCCTGGGGAAGGCTTTCTCGGGCCTCCTGCATGCGGCGCCGGGCACGACGGAAAGCCTCTGTGATGGAAGCAAATACAGGAGTCAGCTGCCATGGTGTGGGGAGGAACACAGCCCATGCTGACCCTGGGCGGCCAGCTGGGGGGGACGGGGGAACCTACCTAGCACATTGTGAACGGAACTCTGCTGGCTAAACCCTTCCAGACGGTCCAACACACTCCGCATCCTTTTCCGGAGAGAACGTGACTCCAGGAAGGCCCTGTAGGGGAAGGTGCCACATGGCCAAGGCTATTCTCCAGCCCTCAGGGAGAAGAAGCCCCAAGGCAGAGGGCCAGGGTCACTCACCTGGACTGCTGCAGACAGTGCAAGCGGAAGGTGACACTACCTGTGGTCTCTGTACGGAGCCCAAAGCGGCTCAGGCGCTCCCCCTGTGGCAGACAGTTAGGCAGCATCAGGATTCTGCGGTCTCGGGACCCCAGGCACCAGGCCAGCCTCACTCCTGTTCCTTTCCCCTTCTTAGGGAAAACAGTTCTGTTGGGGAAACCTCATTCCAGCACCCAGACTCCATCACCTCAAGGCTAACCCCGGGCTCCCAGCCCCTAAGGAGGGAACATTCCGACCTCATTGAGAAGAAGCCGTCTTTCAGGCTTCCTGCTGATCATCCCCACCTCTGGCTATCGAGGCCTCCGTGATGGGCTGGAAGGAGGGGCGGGTTATTCTGATGGGAACCAAGGGAAATTTCAAGTATACAAGTTTTCAGAGATCTGCTAGGAGAGCAGTGTAGATATTTGTACCTGGTTCAAAATGTGCCTATGACTTCCAGCTTAAGCAACGGGAAGGAAGGGGCTAAGTAATAATGAAGCAATGAACAATTAAGGGGCCTTAACCCAGATCCCACCTTCAACAGATGAGATAGAAACATAAGTTCCCAATATGACGTCTCCCCAGAGACAAAAACCACCTTGAAGGTTCCTGGTATCCGCACGTAGGAGAGGTCCTCCAGTTCCAGGGAGCCACCGATGAAAAACCGCCTCAGCTCGGCTGCTGTGCCAAGCTCCCTGGGTCTCCACGTGGAGACCACCAGCGTGTGCAAGCCTGTGCAGCGCAAGGAAAATGAGGCCAGGGCCAGGAAGGCCACGAGGCGCCTTGCTGACTCCCCAGCAGTGACACTGGCCTAGTCACCACTACAATGCCTGTTCTGGTGACAGTCTGACCTCTAGGGAAGACTATCACGGTGGTAGTTTAGGACACCCGTTTGGAAGTTAGACAGAAATTCAGACCTTGGCTCTGCCCGTTATTACCTGTGTACGCAGGTCAGGTTTCTTAACCTCCCCGAGGCTCATTCTCATCTCATAAAATGGAAACAACAACACCTACACCTCGTATAGTTGGGAGAGTTAAGGAGAAGCACTTAGCATAAGGCCAGGCACACAGGAAGGGGAAGTGGCTGCTGTTTTCAAATGAACGCTGATGTACTCGGCCAAGCAGCTGCTCCCTCCAGGCTGCAAGTCGAACCAGAGGAGCCTGGAGCAGGCTCCAGAGACACTCAGGCCACTCGACTTCAGAGCTGGCTGCAGTGTCACTCAGCTGTCTCTAAGGAAGGGGGAAGACTCCTCAACAGGAGCAAGGGCTCTTGCGCGTTAAATGCTTCTAATTCCTAACTATCCCTCCTTCTCACTGGAAGCGGTTGAAACTTTTGGAAGCATGAGTCTTGTTCCTAGAAGCTAGGGCATGTGGGCCACATGAAGGGCAGAGACAACAAGTCACCTGGAGTGGCAGGCAGCACCACGGCCCCGTAGCCTTCCACGCGGTACCTCTGCCAGAAGTCGAGGGAGAGGACCTCGCAGTAGAGCACGGGCCACTCCGGGAGAGCCTCTGGAGCAATGAGAGAAGCAGCCGGGTCACTGGAGGCCTTCGTCAGGAGGGGGCGCTGCCTGAGGAGACCCAAGGCCTGGGATGGGTCAGCTGCTGAGCTACTCACCGGCTGACTCGTCCTCATGGAGGAAGGAGGCCTCAAATGTGAATGGATAGGAGAAGTAGGCCACCTTGTCCTAAAAAAGAGGAGTGTCCTTTTATACTCAGTGTTGTGAGGAAGGCAAGGCCTCATCTGAAATTTATCCTCCCTGTGGCCAACGACAAGGTCGGCTTCACAAGGGGATAAGAAAACCTATCACGCCAGGTGGGAAATAAAAGGCTGAAGCCAAGGGAGACCCAATTACCGGCTGCTCCCATTCTCACAGAAGCAGCCAGAGAACCGCGGGACCAGGCCTGCACAGAAGGACTACGCCCAATTCTGGAATCTGCCTAGAGGGCGAAGCTGTCCGCCCGATAAATCTTCAGATGCCACCCCGTGATCAGAGTCCTGTTCCCTTGCAGGTACCCCCTCTCATTTCCCATACCATCCCCAGGGACTTGGTGGCACAGGTCTGTGTTACTCCTGAGAGCTGCTGGAACTCTGGGCTTGACCAGTCTGAAAGCCAAAGACAATATATTATTCTAAGTTTACCTGGGAGGAGGACAAGTAGCTGAACAAAAGACAGAGTTCCTTCATGCACTCATTCACACAATCAATCACTCATTTAACATTTACTGAGTGTCTACTTTATGCTGTGACAGTCACAGGGGACATCTTGGTGACCAGATAGAAAAGATCCCTGTCTCTCATGGACCCAGCATCCCAGTGTGAGGGAGACGGACACACCAACCAGAGAATGTCAGGTAACGAACAATGCCATGCTAAAACTGAGACAGGGTAAAGGGGCAGAGTGACCTGGAGGCCCGCGGTGACGGAGTGGCGAGGGAAGACTTCCCAGAGGTGACACTTAGGCTGAGACTTAAACGCAAGAAGAACCAGTCATGCAAAGACATGACATAAAGGATTTCAGACACAGGAAACGGTCCTGAAAAGGCCCAGCCTTGCTTTGCTCCCTGGTAGGGGCACATACGAGAAGGCAACCAATCCATGTTTCTCTCTCTCACGTTCTTGTCTCTCCCCCTTGCCACCCACCCACCCACCCACCTTCCTCTCTCTCTAAAACAATGAAAAAAAAGGTGCCCTTGGGCGAGGATTAAAAAGAAAAACAAAATTTACAAAGGCCCAGCCTTGGATACTTGAATAGTGTTAAGATTAACTCAGAAGGTGGGAATCCAGCAAGGAGGCTGACGGTCCATCAGTGAGAGAGAAAAGGGGAGCGTGGAGCCAGAAACCAAGAGAAGCGTTTCAGTGAGCAGAGGGAGCCTTGCCAAATGCTTCTGAGAAGTCAAATAAGGTGACAGCAGAGAAGTCACCCCAGGATTTGACAACCTGGAAGTGATCTATGGCCTTGAAAAGAACAATGAGCTTTTGTACAGAAGCGGGAAAGGAAGCTTGACCAAAGGCCAGCAGAAAACTCTCAGAATGGGTATAATAAAAGAGACCTATGAATATTACTTACTAGCAGTTGGTAATTCCACAAAGAAGTGGACGTAGAGGTTGTCATACTCGTAGCCTTGGGCTGAAACTAAGAATACAGGGACCTATTTTCAGCTGCTCCTCCTGCCATCCTTGGCACCCACCCAACTCTACGGGGTCTATCCACTTCCAAAAGAAAGTCCTCAAGGGCCAGGAACTCTCTTGCGTTTCCTGGAAATGCTCGTGGCTAAGGTTTCCAAGTACTGCGGACAACCCAAGACCTCCATGGGGGCCGGGTGGATTGCTTCACACTCCACTGGGGCTCCTGACCAAGCTTAAGAGGTCTCTGTCTGGCAAGATACTTACCTACCTCTCCATTTACAAAGAGCCGGAAGGCACCGGGGTCCGTCTAAGGTAGAGAGAAGCGGGACAGGTCAGGAGGTGTGGATGCAATCAGCGCTTCTCAGCCTGTCCCCAGGAGCCCTGACACTGGATGTCAGATCCAGATGCATCCCTAATGCATCTCCTCCCCACCCTGCCACTTCAAAGAGCTGTTCCCTAAAGTAGTTAAAATTTGTAGTGTAGAAAAAGAAAGTACATAATTTAAATGGCGGGGAGGGCAACACAGTGTGGGAAATTTGGAAGACTAGCCAAGGGAAGCCGTACAGCTGTGCTTCAGTGTGAGCCGGGAGGCTAGAGGCCTCTGCTCCCATTAGGTGGCTGAGGTCGAGCAGCTAGGGGTCCACCATTGCAGTTGTTTGTGTAGCTATTTTATCTAGCTTTTAACGTTGACCATCTATTGCTAATGCAGTATCAAAAATAATGAAAGTTCATTTTTTCAGAGAGAGAGAGGGACACCAGGGGCTAATTCTACCCTTGTTTCCAGATCTAGAAATGGAATTCCAAGAATAAGAGAACATAAAAGAACATGACATCAAATTACTGACGAAAACCATTTTGTTTTCTTTTTAAGGAGCCAAGCTATTTAACAAATAGAGATGACACCCCTTCTGTCTCTATGGGGCCCTCAGGCAAAATATCCACATGAAGTGAGGAAGACATTTTTCATCTTTATATTTACTTTTAAATTAATTATAAAGTACTGAGTGCATTGCCACTGGAAAAATTCAAAACTACGTAAGTTTAGAGAATAAAAAATAAACACCCCTGACATTTGCTCTCACCACCCAATATTCATCTACCATCTCCCAACCCCACCCTCTCCCTAGGAAAAGCCACCCATAGTATGTGGCTTTCTCATAGCCTTTAAGGCCTTTCTCTGTGTACTAACAGTTCTACATCAATATGTAATGTTTTAAAATCATTAACAAGGACTACCCTCTTTGCTATTTTTTTACTTCCTTTGGCACTGAAACGTATGCCTTGGGGACCCGGCAGGCAGGCATGATGACAGCTCACAGTGCCGCGGGGAATCAGGGGCTCACCGTCTCGAAGTCAGTGCCCACGAGGCTGCTGAGATACTCCTTGTGCCGGCCGTAGAGCTGAGGAAGAAAAGCAAACCAAAACCTGGGATGTGACCTAAGCCAGACCAGGGTTCAGTCCTAAATGGGAGAAAAAGCCGTAACGGGAAACGGCCCCGAGAGCTGGAGGCCTAAGCATCCCAGCCACTGACATTTTAGAGTGAAGTCCAGAGGCTGCAGAGTCCGCTGGCCTGGGACCAAATCCTGGCTCTCACAAGTACAAGCTAGGTGACCTTGGGCAGGCTGCTGAGCTTCTCAGTCTGTTTCCTAACTCATAAATGGTAGTAATAAAAGTAGTTATTTCAAAGAGTTGTTGCATGGTCTAAAGGAAATAAAGTACATGAAATACCTAGCCCAGAACACGGTAAGTGCTCAAAGAAATGGTCGTTACGAAGATGATGTTCTAATATGATCAAAAACTTGGGTCTGATACGTCAGCAATACTTCCCGAGTCAGGAGGGAGCCACTAAGAACAGCCTGTGCAACTGCTGACAGCAACCTGGGACTCAGCCCCCAGGCGCTGAGGCTCGCCCCTTGGGGACTCGGAAGGAATTAGCTCTTACATCCTTGAACACACGCTGTTCCCGCTCCTCCTCCTCTGGCTGCGCGAGGGAGGACACGTTGTCGATGGTATACTTCCACAGCTCCTGCTTCTCTCCCTCGGTCTCAATTCTGTAAGATCAAAGCCACATAGGAACCCACTCTAATAACAAGAGATAGGGCCCTCCAGATGCAGCTGAGGGATGAGCTCTCACTGGCTGTACACCTCATTTAGTGTTTGCTGACGACGTCGGCCAGAATGGTAACTGGCAGGGGGAAACGAAATGGGAAAGCAAGGGCACCAGACTAGACTCAGAGAGCACAGGTTCTGGGCCCATTTCTGTCTCGAAGTCACGATGAAACCCTAAAGCATGACATCCCTGGCACCCAGTTCTCTCCTGTAAGAAAAGGACAGGAGGGTCTAGGTGATTTCTAATTCACAGCTGTGTTATTCCAGGACATAGAGATAAAGAACAATCAGCCCAGAGGACAAGACCTGGCTGAGTTCACCTCATCTGTTCTGGTCAGTCCCTGTAGTCAGCAGCACAGAGGACTATTTTCACTTAGTTATACAGCTGAAGGTATCACCGTCCAATCAGTATAGTGATATATAGTCTGAGAATAGTATTCCCAGTACCCAAGGTGTCAATAACCCAGAATAGAACATGAACCACTACCTGGGAATTTGAAAGTTAGAACAGACGAGGGGCTTTCTGCACATCTCCTCAACTAAGGGCAAGGAGTGAAGCCAAGAGGAAAAATGCCAGTCTCTACCACCCCTCTCGCTCGCTCCTCACCTGTAGGGTCCTTTGAGCCCAGTGAAGTCAGGCTTCACTGTGATCACACCATTGCTGTCCACTTTCAGCGTACAGAGGACATGTTCATAATTCTTATAGCCAAGCCTAGAAACCAGGAAATCAGCAAGGTTCAGGGTCACTGGTCCCACATCCAGGGAAAGAGGAAGAGGTAGTCAGACCACGTCAGGGGAGAGGACGGAAGCTGTAGTGAGAGTTACCGCATAAAAGACTTTCTTCTGAGAACAACTAAGAAAAACAAAAAGAGAAAAAGTCCCTCCCTCCCATATACCCCAGGATCGCTGGGGAGAGGGGAGGATGATGGGCATCTGAGCTGGGCAGTGAGAAGCTTCACTCACTTTCCATAGGGCCCCAGGTCTGCCATGATGTACATTGTCTGCAGAGGAGTGTTGATGACATGGTTGTTCCTGATGAATTCTTCTGAGGGTTCCCAGGTGACAATGCGTGACCTGAGGATGCCGCCCTCCCTGGGGAACGCCAAAGGAAGGGTCACTTCCCTGGTTCCCCCTAAAGAGCCGGAAGGAGGAGCACAGGGGAGCACACCCCGGTGGAGGTCGACTGCAGAACGGGAGGCTCCAGTCGGTGGACATACCGAGAACAATGGCATGGAAGGCCCACAAAGGCCCCCCGCCCCCTGCCACAGTCCCCACGCACTCACATCCCTCGCCTGTCCTGCCGTCGCCGCCTGACATTTGCCATTCGCTCGACCAAGAATGATGGCATCTCCCTGGTTGCGGTGGTCATTTTCTGACAGTGCTGGGGAAAGAGAGCAGGCCTGTGGAACCCGGCGGTCAGCGCCACAGGGGATCGAGTACCCAAAGGGAAGCCCTCCTTCTGAAGCCTCATCCAGGACCCGAACCTAAAATTATATCTCACAAGATACATGCGCATGGAGGGGAGTAGTGGCACCAACAAGCCAAAGAAGATTCCTACCACACCTTGGTCTGCCCTAAGATTTTTAGCAGGATATTGACCTTCAGAAATGCATTTATTTATGCTAATGTTAAAAGAGCTGCAACTTCTGAGCACATACTAACCAAAAGTTGGGTGAGTTTGCCTGGTGGATGTTGACATTAATTCACTAGGTAGTTGGAGGATGCCAAATGGAATCCAAGTATTCTGTGGGAAATCCTCACATGGGATCTAAGCACTAACTGTAATTTTATTCACTTTTCCAAAACAGACAACCAAACTGTATATGATATCAACCTATAGTTTTCTTAATAAAAAGCATCAGTATTTCAAAAACAGTCATTTAACATCTGTTCCTTGTAGAATTCTACAAGGTTATAGACAAAAATCAGAAAATAGTGGCTCCAACCTCCCTCAAGTAGTTTAAAATCTCACTGAGAAAGTAAACCATATCAGACAGTAACTGAAGAAAATGTTAAAGAAGTCTGCCAGGGTATGCTGGGATAATGGAGGCAAACTGAGGACATAAGCCACTGGCTATGTTGAATTCCTCTTCAAAACCATACACTCAGAGTTTTGGCTGAATCCTCTGGTAAATTTTATCTACACCAGCGACTTTCACCCAGTGTGCTGCAAGAATTTTTAAAACATGCAATACCTGACTATTTAGTCAGGGGCACTGACCTCTTTTCCCTTAGACTGTCAAATAAAAAAAATGACAATAGCCAACATAACAACAGCCATCTGGTGTGAATGAATCAAAATTATACCTATATTTTTTGTCAGATTGGCAAAAAATATATTTTTTGGTGTGCTACAGAATTTTGGTAATCAGCTTATGTGTGCCATGAGATGAGAAAGGTTGAAAATCGCTGATCTAGATGGTTCTAGACTCCACCCACCAGTCTCATCTCAGGATGCGTGCATGAAGTCAAGCACGGGGACTGCTTCTCTGGGCTTGCAGCCTGCAAGCCTATCTTTGGAGACCCTGCCAGCTCTTCCAGGCCCCCCAGCAGGTGAAGAAGAGAGGAAGCTACACCACTTGTTGACTGTGCCCACACTACTCCAGCTTGGCTGCCAGCAGCACAAGGCAGTTCCTAGATAGGCACTCTGTCACCCCTCAATAGGCGCCTGATTTAACACCCGGAACCCAGGAAGGCCAGAAAGCTCAGGAAGGCAAAGGAGAGGGGAGCTACAGAACAATACCTCCTCCAAGTTGGTGTATCTATCAGAGTCAGTGTACGTAAAGATTCGTCGGTTCTTCCTTCTACCTGAATCCTCCAGCTTTAGGATCTCTTGACGGTACTGATGATCTAAAGGGCTCTGACAGGCGGCTTCATTTTGGTACAGATCTACTTCAAACTGAGGTCACAAGGAAAGAGAGATCTACTGAGACTATGTCAAACTTCTGTTCCTGTAACCGTTTAATTAAAGCAGTTTTACAGCACTGAGACAATCCAGCATGTTTTCATAGCCAATTCTCATGTATCTAAACTAATGCAGGGCGGGGGATCCAAAGGATGTAAGAGCTAAAAGGAACCAGAGTGATGGTCTAATCCAACTCCGATGTTACTGATGGCATGTAGCCCAGAAGTGGAAAGTTCTTCATCCAGGATAATAAAACTGGGTAACGGCAGTCACTATGCTACACTGCCCCTGCTACAAGCTTTCTGGAAATCAGTTTGTCAGTCTGTATCAAGAATCTTTCCCTGCCACCAGGCAGGTGGATGTGGACCAGGTGGAGGTAGACTGAGCAGACAAGTGACATTGGCTCACCTGGCTAAAGAGTTTCTCCTGCCATCCAATCAAGACCTCCTCCTCTTCATCTTCATCTGGGCGGTGTCCACCTCCAAAGACAACAGCGTGAGTCAAATGCTTGAGCAAAACCAGCACTACTTTTTGCTCTGTGGTTAGTTATAATCAAAGTCCCTGCTCTTATATTTAGCACAAAAACAGTTGAAGTTCAGTGATTTATTAAGCACTCATTCTATATAAATGTTGGAGAGGTTGCGGGTATACAGAAGCCTGAGTTAAGACCCAAGAAGTCTTACTTGCTTCTCTAATTTGAATAAAAGGAAGACATGTCTTCTAGGAATCATTTAATCTAATTCAATGTCAGTAGCTGAAATTTAGATATAGGCTGAATAGCTCTTCCTCAATCCCAATTGTCTACATTTGCTTAAAAGGAATCCTGGCATTTTTATCTTTACTATTCCTGAAGCCATATATCTAGAATCACAAACACTGTAACCTTAGGACCAAGTATCAGGAAAGGAGAGGAAAGGCAAATAAATGATCATATATAAAAAAACAAATCTAATATATTCTTGTCTTGAGTATGCCTTTTTCAGACACACACGCTTCACAATCCACCAGCCCACACTCTTGCCCAGGACTATTTTTTAACAGAAACAAAAGTAGAGACTAGTGGCCTAATACAAACACACTGTCCTCTCTTCCTCACTCTTCCGCCTCTCCAGATAATGAAAACTGCAAGAGCACAGCTGATGTTAATATGCATATTTTCCAAGCAGGCTTCAATTTTTAAAATCGTTTTAAGAAGTGTTTATATACATATACTTAGAATTTGCAGCATATTTTCTCTTAGGAAAAAAAAAATGCCACAAATGAAATTTAGGTTGCCAGGAAAATTTATAACATATCTAAAGTATGGTATTTACTACTTCACTACATTTAACAATTAAGATCAGTATCTTGATGGCAGGACTCATTCTTATTCAATTTTCATACACATCGTAATATAGCCATTAACATTGCCTAATCAAGCCCTGGCTTCAACATTTACCAGCCATGTGACCTTGAGCAAGGGACACAACCTTTCCATGCCTTTTTGCAGACTACAGCCCTGGGTCTATTCTGTTTTAAGAGGTAACCACCATCCTAGGCCCTTCCAGATACCCAGGGGGGACACATCACCACCATACACCCACTGGCAGACGGGTGAGGGCTAAAAGTGGCCAAATCTATGAGGTCCTTCCCGCGCTGGGCAGCAGGCTGGTAATGGAGGAAGTTGCTTGATGTGATTCTTTGCAAGTGGACTCTGTCAGGAAAAGAGAAGCCCAAGATACTCATTAAAAGACACACAGCCAGAAGATGAACACCAAACAAAGACAGGGGAAACACAGTATCAATGTGTGCGGGGTGCACGCAACCGAGGGATGGTGAGTGTGGCGCGGGGTCCTAAGAGGAAGAGTGAAGATGAGGAAGTGTATTGGGGACACAGAGCTCTGAGGAATTGGGAGTGCCTGTGTTGGGTCTGCACGCTGTGACAGGAGCGGGTGCAGGGTAGTGAGACAGATGGAGACCGCAGAGGAAGTGCACGGGATTTTAAGCGGAAGTGGGGGCCGCTGAGCACTGACACGTGAAGTTCAGGCTCGAATTATCTGAGAGGATAAAAGTGCGGGGCTCTGGGATCATGCGACTACCGGAGACGCAAGTTGCGCACGGGGTCCCGGGAGCGATACACAGCCTCCCCGGTGTCAGTATTCCAGACGGTCTCCGCCATGACAGCTGCAACGCGCCACGACTGCGCCGGAAAGCGCGCTGCTCCCAGTTCCCCTGGCAACGGAGACGCTGGGTTCTGGAGGCCAGGGATGCGAGGAGCTGAGCGCGCAATCGTCAGCTTCCATGGCGGCACCACGCCTGCCTCTCGCGTACAGCCCAGGCCTAGGCCGAGCGCGTAGGCTTCCTGGTGCTGGGGTCTCGCGGGATCACCGCTTATTACAAGTGCGAACAAAGCTCACGCACACTCAAGGCCGACTTATGCACTTTACAAGTGAGGAAACTCAGGCAGAGCCATTGGCCCTTTTCATATAGATTCAGACTTGGTGATGCAGAGCAGACCCAGATTCCCTGATTCCTCACCACTGGTTTTTGCCACTACACCACCCTGACTTCCACGGAATGCTCGGTACTTTAGCCTGAAAATCGGTGGACTTACAGAATGTTTCTGTTCTACCCAAGAGAGTCAGAGAAGGTGATGGCGCTTATACAAACATGAAAATATATTCTTGGAAGAAGAAGAAGAAGAAAAAAAAAAGAGACCTGCCAGAAGATTAATTAGTTATTGTATTCACTAAGCCAGAGAATGAAAAAACAAGGAAGCTAGCAGTAAGGAAGGGAAACATGTTATTGTTCTGTTTTCTCCCTTACATGTGTTAGTTCCGGATTATTAAGACCTTAGATACTGAACCGACCTCCTGAAAAGCTAACAAAGTGCCATTCAGAAGTCATGCTTCAATGGACTATCAAAGGCAAGACACGTCATAACCTTTTGTCTGGCACCTGGCATCCCAAAGTGCCAACAGTCATCAGCCTTTGACATTTGCTACTCCCCCCCGCCCCCCACAGAGTAAGCAATTGTCCTCTGAAATCAGTATTCTTATGCCAGATTGATTGTATTTCATTGGGAGCCCTGGGCAGCATAGCTGCTGTTGTGTAACACAAAGGACTCACCATAATAGTAGCACCATTATTTAACATCTAATACTGCCTGAGTGTCTTGTTTACATTGTCCCTAATCTTCATAGAAATCCCTTTAGTTGCCTTGTTATTCTATTTAATTGTTAAAATTAGTGAAGGCCAGAGCTTAAAGAGCTTGCTAAATTAGAACTCCAGTAAGTGGTGACAGAGCTGTGATTCTAGTCCAGGTCTGTCTTTTGAAACCTGAACACCATGCACTCTGCCTCACAGCCTCTCTCCTACCAGTGTATTCCATAAGAGCACAAAGTTTGCAGCCTGGGAAATAATTATTTTAACAAACAAAACCATGGAGGCAGAATACTAACTCTTAAGAAACATTCTCTCACATTTTTCTTTTTAAAGTTGTGAATAGACAGCTCTGTGCCAAATGAACAACAAATGATAAATATGGAGACTGCATCAACAGTTTAGTTTTATAACCAAATCAAATTTATTGCAAAGTTAACCTGATATAATTATAAGTAAAACATACCTGTACCACATGGTATGGAAATATAAGTTATTTGTATAAGTAACCATAATTGAATTATTTCTATACAGGTAAACTAGATTTTTATGTTTTTGTTTATTGGTATCTAGAAATCAGCATTCTTAAAACTGGGGCCCGTGAGTAGCATTCAAGGAATCTATAAACTCTTTCCTAAAATTCTATGGGGAACATTTTCTGGAAGGAGTTTATAGCTTTTATCAGATTCTTGAAGGAGTTTGTACCCTGCTATCAAGAATGGCCTGATCCCCACTACACTTATATACTATCTTGTTAAAAGTCAAAAGTTTGGACTACATAGCACAAAGAGCAAAATCCATGGTACCAACACTAGCAACCCTTCTTCCCCCATCCCCAACCAGGACGGTTCAGAGCTGACATTTATTGTGTTCTCCCTAAATTAACACCACAATCTGAAGAAATTTTTTGGCTTAGAAAATACTCATACAAATCACCACGAAAGGTAAATATTATTGCCTACATTTCACATATTTATAAGTTAGCACATTAATTAAATTTCTCACACTCTTATGACTCGGAAGCATAGGGCTTTGGATGTAAGTCCAGATGTTCAGACCCAAACCCATGGGCTCTCCTTTGAACCGTGGTGCCTCCTTATATTTAATCATTCCCATCCCCTCCCCCTCCCCTGACTTTTTTTTTCTGTAACCATCCCCATCTGAGCCACATTAGAACAGCCTACCACTCTTCCTTTTCCCTCCCCAGCAGGCACTTCGCAGTTTACTTAGGTTCTCCTAACTACTAGACTTTAGAAAAGCAGAAGAAAAAGAGGAGGAACATCACAAAGTGAAACATTTATCTACCATATGATCTGGCAATCCCACTCCTAATTATTTACTCAAAAACAACAACAACATAATACCCACACAAAGACCTATATGTGAATGTTCGTAACAACTTTATTCACAATAGTAAAAATGGGAAACAGCGTAGCTGTCTTCCAACATGTAAATGTTTGAACAAATTGTATAATATCTTTAAAATGGAATACTACTCCACAATAAAAAACAAAGTAATTACTGATACATAAAACATATGGATGAATCCCCAAAATTATTATGCTAAGTGAAAGAACCTGGACACAAAAGGCTATATGCTGTGTGGTTTCATTTATATGACATTCTAGAAAAAAGAAAAACTATAGAGAGGGAACACAGATTAGTGGTTGCCTGGGGTTGATTTTGGGAAGAGGGGTTAACTATAAAGGGGCAGTGTGAGTAATTTGGGGGATAATGGAACTGTTCTATATGGAATTGTGGTGATGGTGGTACAGAACTCATTGCATTTATTAAAACCTATAAAACTGTGTGCCATGATGAGTGAATTCCACTGTATGTAAATTGTAAACTACTTACCAAGTTGTTAGAGGTACCTAAAATGGAATATGGACTATGACAAAGGAACCAAACTGTGTTTCAAATGATTTACATAACCACACTGAAGGAGTGAGAAAGAAAGGAGCCACCCTAAATAACTTTGGAAAGCAGTGCTTTGACTGGAAACTGAAGGCTGAAGATAAAAAGCATTATCCACAAATGCTGTACTCTAGTTGGTAAATTTGTTTCTCAGAGAGGTATCAATTAGCAGTTCTGAAACTACTTATGTGTATACTAAGGCTGAAAAAATAAGTAAATATATTGTAGATAACAAGAGCCGTATTTTTCACTATCTGAGAAAGAACTTACAAATAAGGAAAGGGGTAAAGGCAAGAACGGACCATAGTGGGAGTAAGGAGTAAAAACTCATGGGTGTTTAAATATAGTGGGAGTAAGGAGTAAAAACTCATGGGTGGGAGTCATAGTGGGAGTAAGGAGTAAAAATTCATGGGTGTTTAAATATACAAAGTAGGGAAGTAAGGAGTAAAAACTCATGGGTGTTTAAATATACAAAGTAGGGAATAAGTTGTATGGAAAATAATACAATAATTAATAAACAACAACACAATAATAAAAGGTGTTTCACATACTCACAACTAAACATACATTTGCCCCACTCTGTATATATAAAGACAGGATCAGAGATATATATGGTTATGTATGTATATATGCACACGCTGGTATCCACACACATAGTTCTTGGCTGTATCCACTGAGACAGTCTAGAAACAGTCACTCCCCAATAGAAATGAGTACTCCCAGTGTCCAGACTTTGGTTTCTAAATACCATTCTCCATTATGAAACAATCAAGCATTGATTGATTACCTGAAAGAAGCATAAGGAATCTGCTAGGCATTTCTAGGTTAGGGAGCTCCCAGCCAAAGGGAATCCTGAGATGGGTGCAGGTATGAGCTGTTAATGGTCACCATGCACGGCAGTTGGTCAGGAGGACCTGATCAGGGCACCAACAACACCTGCTACAGGTATGTTTTGTAAAGGTGATCCTAGGAAACATTAGTATGGAAGTGGGCTAAACCCAGACCAACTTACTCAGGGAACGATGAAAGTGAGCATACCTACCTTTTCCCAGCTCCTTCCAGGCAGGGTGCCAAACACATAGAACAGGTGGGACCACAAGGATATTACCGAACTGATATTATTAGAGTCAGTAAAAGGAAAAAAAATAGGTCAACAGTACCTAGAAACTCCACCTCTAGAGCAGTTATTTGTACATCAACATCAGATTTCAATTGCCTTTTCCCAAGAAACATATTCAGCTTCTGATAAGTGAATGCTTTTATCTTGAGAAACTCCATTTTCCCTACAGTGTGTCCCAGCAGGTTAGCCCAGGTCTTCAGCAACATGGGGCAAGAGGAGGAGTGTTCTAAATAGTAGAACTCTGATGACATTGGCTTCTATGGCCTCACCCCCTCCAAGAAGACATTCCAATTTTTAGAAGTACAAGGACTTTAAAATTCACCTTCTATGCTCCCCCCTTTCTTTTTTCTTACATTTTTATTCTTTTACAGTTGTCCCAGTTTTTCCCCTTTATTCTCCTCTGCCCAGCACCCCCCGGCCCATGTCAACCCCCACACTGTTGTCCATGTCCATTGTTCATTGACTAGTCCCTTCCCCTTCTTTCCACCATTATCCCCCACCTCCATCCCCTCCGGTTGATATTATTCTGGAAATACAGAGAAATTAATCTCCCCAATAAATCCTAGTGACAAAATTTTTTGCCAACTGTAGGATTTTTCATGTTTAGTCTCATATTAAGTTCACTGAATTTTCCTAACCAGCAATGACCTTTTGAAAGTCTATATTAATCTACACAAATTTTTGAGCCAAGTTTTTGCCTATTGTCTCAAAACAATCATTTGGCTTTAGCTATTGGGATTAAAATTAGGTGGTAATCCAAATTATTTTGAGTAAGGATTCTCAGCAATTCTGTCTGAGCCCCTAAGAGTTGATAGTTATGTGTTTGTTACACAATTTATTAAATCATTTCATTCATCCATTTAATGAATATTTATTGCTGGTCTTCTATGTATGAAGGGGTACTGTAGTAAACCCTGGGGATATATAATCTCTGACCTCATGGAATTTACATTATGGCAGGGAGAGTCAATAGAGAGTAAAAAAACAAAAAAGTACAA